AGATACTATAAACTACTAAAGGTATTTGCAGCATGCGCGCGAATCAAGAAGGAAGTAATTGCTCCATAGTCTCGGCGCGATAATAGCATATTTAAATAATCATTTGAAAGTTTTTCCTGGAGATGTTATCCAAGGCTACTCGAGCGTATATTTTCATAGAAATCCTCATAACAATGTTACTTATTTGTTCTCTATATACGGAAATCTTTAGTTCGAGACATATGTTATTCGCACATACTTGGTCATTTTCTTCATTGTTTTCTACTTTTTGACTTATTTTTTCGTTAGTTTCTTATGTGTGGTAATTATATAGTCTTACACGTTCGACATATTATAATTAGGCGAAATATATGGATAACCTGGAATAACGATTTGCTCTTTTTTTAAACTTTAGTACATGTAATTAGTTTAGGTGTCTTATCGTTTTCAAAGGCGATTGGTCGCAAAAAGTCATTATTTGTTTATTTGTAATTCGTCGCGTGTTCTGACATTTTAAAACCTGGAATAACGATTTGGTCTTTTTTTAAATTTTAGTATATGTAATTAGTTTAGGTGTCTTATCGTTTTCAAAGGCGATTGATCGCAAAAAGTCATTATTTGTTTCGTAATTCGTCGCGTGTTCTGACATTTTCGTAATGAGAACAATTCGCATACGTTGCAACATTATGAAACAATAAAGTGGCACTATAATCTTGTAAATCGCTATGTAATTGTATAGATGCTATCTAATCTGATATAAAAAACATTCTTACCTGCTTTAAAAATCAATCGCGGCACAAATATATATTTGCCACTTTGCAATCTTTATTGCCTACGGAAAATCGCACATTGCGGGATTTTATCAATGCAATATATGTATACCTAACACTTTACGAGATACGTATAATATGCAAAAAATAATGTATTTATTATTATATTTTTATTGCTTTTCGAGAAATTCTTTGAAAATGTTTTCAATAAGAGAATCTCTCTTTCTCTTTCTCATGTTGCATTATTATCCGTAATCAAATGAATCATGTATGCCACTTTTTGATGTATTATAAGATGAAATTATCTGACATTCACTGCCAACGAGGAAATTCTAACTGTTCTTAAAGAGAGAGAGAGCATGGTTCTATGCACATCCACAATCTTTCATCCATAGGACATGTCAAACCTTGAGTGGAGAACGGGTCTGCTCAGCATTACTAAGTGCTTGGCGAATAGTTGCATAGATAAAGTATAGTTAAAATTTACATTATCTTTTCTCTAAGCTTATTTGCTATTTATATATTTTTCAATTTCAAGCCGTTTCATAAAAATAAATGCAAAATTTTTAGTTTATTTTTAATTTTGGATTTTTTAAAAAACCCTTTATTTAGAACTCTTTTCAAAGAATCCTTTAATTCTCATATTTTTCGATCACTAAGATTGTAAATATTCAAACAAATTATCTAAATATTAAAACCTTAAATTATTTGTCATCAGTTTAATAAAAAAAAGCCTAAAGAAAAGAGCAAAATAATTATTCCCCTTTTTTGATATTTGAACAAAAAATGTTTTTTGTTATCGCATCATCGTTAATTGAGTTTCGAGATCCGTGAACTTCATGCTCAAACATATTTCCGAAAATTATCCGTGAAATTTTGTCTCAAATTCTGAATCATATTCTTCCATGGCGATCTATTGAGAAGACAATCATATATATCTTCGCCTTCTTCCGCAAGGTCTGCCGGCGTACAAGTTATGCAATTAAAATAATAATGATGCTCGCTCCGAATGCCGGTAACAACTAACAACGAGCAATTTCATGTTGATTACGATGCTCCATCTCGTAATTGGTAATACCGACGAAGCATTGCAAAAGTACGTTCGCCGTGCTACTACCGTGCAGCTACACTTCAAAAAATGATGATAATATCGGTCGATTACACAATCTGTTACACCTGAACAAAACATACTCCGCTTTTGCATACGGAACATTGAGCTTTTGGACATACAATATACTTTTTTTTTACAACAAGTCAACAAATAGATTTACGCAAATTAAACTTCCCTGACAACAAGTAATTCGTACGTTCGGCCAATCGATACGGTAAACGTTTTATTTATTCTAACCAGCGGAAGTTGATGTTGATGTATGTATGCCACGAGGTAGAAGGTATTGTAAAACTGTTACATAAAAAGACGTGACATTCGTATTGGCATTTTGTGCCATGGCCACCGTGTACATTTCAATAACAGTGATGGGACGACTGACCAAATTAACGTTAATTATAAAGCCTTTATTTTATTACGAATCAAATAAAAGTTATTCACAAAGTCATTATAAATTGCTGTGATTATCGAAAAATATCTGGTTAAACGCAGAGAATGGAACAATAACGTACGGCGGAGACACGCACAATACAGATTGAACATCGCTCACGCTCAATTAATTCAACGACGTCAATTCAAATCCAGAGACGCACAAAACATCAAAATGATAATGCTCAAAAGCTTCTTCAGGAGAATCAGCAAGGATTTCCGTCAGAAAGAGCTGATGCCGCTGAAGTTAATATTTTTTATTCACGCTTCCAGTAAGTAAAAAGCAATTTTCTACAGTCAAATGTAACAGCCTACGCTCTTTTTGTTCCCTTAATCATATCTTAATTCCCTAATCAATCAAATAATTAAGTAGAATTAAAAGTAAGTAAAAGTAAGCAAAACAATATTTCTGGCGCGGTAACGAGTCTTTTTGCTGTGGTTTTGCTTCAGCACTTTACGTATTGTATCCGTACTTGACTATACACATGAGAGAATTGGGAATAAACGTGGAAGAGACTGCGATAATGAGTTCTATCACTCCACTTGTGGCCATAGTGATGCCGCCGCTTGCCGGTATGTTAGCCGACCGGATAGGAAATTTCAGAGTGAGTTAACTAACTTTCCTCGATAAAAAATATCAAGATAATACCAATGTATGAGCGAGATACTTTCACCATCAACTGGAGATGCGCGAACTATTTGAATATAAATCAATTCGAATCGAATCGAATGAGACTTAATTCGGTTCGAATTCGAATTTCTATGATTCAAATCCGAACTATTCGAAAATTTTGAATCTAGACGGTTCGAGTACGAATCATATATATTGTCAATCTTATAAAATTATATTTCCCATTAGTAGCCGCTTTAAAAGTTTATTTCAAAATTTTGACATGCCATGTAACCCTATCAAATTGAAAGTAAAAGTTTGAATAGATATGCGTAAAAAAATAGTAAGCTATATATATTGATAATAAATTTAACTATATTATTTTATTTTAATTTCTATGAATGTAATTGGATAATGTTATTGGATACTATGTTAGGATATTTTAATAATTTATCTGCGATTTTTCGTTTAATTATTTTAGTTACTGCGACATTAAATAAAATATATTTTATTAGTTTTATATTAAATATTTAAATATGTTTTTTTTTGTTTTAAGAAGAGTGTATATTATATTGTATAATCAATATTATTTTTCTATATTAAAATATTCTCTTGTTATCTATGTGTCCAAATTTAATCTAATAATAATGATATTGTTAATTAAAAATTATATTTCAATGATTCGATTCGAATGAGATGTTGTCGATTGATGTTGACATAAAAAATCCTTGATTTGTACACCTCTGTCATCAACCATTCGAATTTTTCTCGTCCACCTTTACCATTTTGCCATTTATTTCTTCACGTCTTGTGTCACTATCTACACGTATACTTGTGAAAATAGCATATCACTGAGACCTTTAACGATCAATCTTTTTGACAGATTTTACTATCGATATTTTCCACGTTCGGAGGTTTAGCGGCGTTATTGCTATTACTGGTGCCGATCGGCAGAGTGACAGTAGATTTCCCAGAGAGGATAGTCATGGACCTCGGCTGTGAAGGTAGAAACGGTTCGCTACTACATACAATGAGCCAGGCTCATCCGTGTGAGATGCAGCTAGAATCGGAGATCGCTGTAAAAGTAGAAAGTTGTGGGTAAGCAAAAAGTCGCAATTACATAGCATTAGCTCCGTCGCAGGAATGAAATAACGTTGCGAATTCATTGTGTTACGTAATATATCACTTACATAATATTTAAAAAATGTTATTCTTTTTTCTTTCTCTGTGTTGAGCCCAAAGCATGTGTTTTTTTTTTGTCTTTTGTCTTGTAAATCCTTTTATCACCATTAATGCCTTGAAGATACAATATTCTAATGTTTTAGAGACATTTTCTAGTCCATTGTATATTATGTCATTAATTTAAATCACGTAGCGCATTGAGGAAGTTATTGTTATCACGAATAGTAATCTCGTGCCATCGCGATAAACGCTTTGTCACATAAACACGTACCTATATATATACAAACATGTAAAACGCATATATACATATATGTATATAGACATACTCTGTTGGAAAATTTTTGTAGTTTTGTTAAAAAGAGTGCTTGTGTTAAAATTTTTGTGTAAAATAATCAACACATTATTAAAATATTGCATCAATTACAATTATTAAAACAATTAAAAAAATATGTTAAAGTAACATAATTTAAACGTATTTATTAAATCTGTTAAAATTTACAGAAAAAGAGTGTTGATTTTATTTTACAATCTTAATTTCAACATAGTTATGTGTTAATTGTACACATAATTAACCTCAAGTTATTACGATCAGAATTCCTTTCTGTTGAAATATTTTAACATAGGTGTTACCATTTAACACATCCTTACATAAGACATACATCCAAACACATAATTTAACATATTATATGTTAAATTAACACAAAAATTTGAGTGGACCGTTTGGGACATGTGATTTATGTTATATTTAACACAAATTAAACTGTTTTCCAACAGTATATAAACATTCCGTTTTCCTGTTTGATTCAAATTAATTTGAACAACTCCAACTCTGAATGAGATTCCATGAATGTTACTATTTATTATAATGACGTTTTAATAATAGTCGAGCCATAAAAGAGTCATAAAGTTACAAAGTGACATTTTAAACGGTTTCTTCGAAGTCATTTATTTACAACCCTATATACTGGACAAAGTTCAAACATTAGCAAATTTTTTTTCGCAGATTCGTGTGTCGCGTAGAAACGAACAACGAAACGGATCGAGGTCTGATTCTAAGATCGAGGCTTTACACAGTCCAACATCTCAATTTTCAGACTGGCGTTAATACCTCATACAAATATATTGTCGCGCAGAGCGACTTGTCAACGGTACGTTGCGCATTGAACGTATGTTAACAAAACTACCTGTTACTGAGTTACGGATACTCGATACTTATAATATCGAATAACGGATAAGCGGTGAGCTTAGGTAGTAAGGTAGACATACCGGTTGCCGGCCAACGCACGAAGAGAGTACAGTGCAATGTGTGCGCATTGCTAAATCTGTCGATTAAAACTACTTGGCTGTACTTGCAGCATTACATTACATAGCCCATTTTTTTTAATGTCAAAAAGAACGTTTTATTACCTTGACATTACCTTCAGCAAAGTATCGAACGCAAAAGAATTGTTAAAAATAAATTCCAGAATTTAAATAGTAAAATTTTATTCTTGTACATTTTTGTATTTTATGTCTTACTATATGTATATCTACTATCTTTACTATATATTTTTATGGACATATCGTTTTATGCATAATAACATTACGAGGCTAATAAATGTTATTATATCTTAATTACAGAGTACTAGTCAACAGGAAGATATAAAGGAACGTCGGCAATTAAGAAATAATGAATTTTTTAAAACTACCATCCGGCAAGTCTCGAAGACACACTATTTCTTTCCAACAGATCAGCTGTTCTCATTTTCATGTACGTCCCCGTCGGGACACGTCCAAGATACCGATAACTTTACTATCGAAGCATCACATAAAATGCACAGAAATTATACGTCATGCGCATTTGATAGTTTAATAAAATCGAAGGTAGAAGAAGAATAGTATACTTCGTAACATAATTATATTCGTGTGTATCCGAAAACATCTAAAGATTGGCAATAATCCAGGAATTATCATCATCTTTTTATATTTTATGTATCATAAATTAAATTTCTAAAAAAAATGAACTAAAATACTTACTAGGCCAGTCATTAGACTAATTTAGGGGGTTAACCTTCCAATTAATCTTCCCAGGTTGCAACCACCATAAATCACTTTGATTTGAGGTGCTATAAGTGGGATTTATTTTGCTTCGCAAAATTAACGCGCAATAAAAAGTTATCAGCAATATTATCAACAAAAAACGCGATTTTTTTATTTTTTCTCAAATATCTCGAAAACTAAGCAATATAGAGTAACTAACTATACGTACCTTTTTTGTAGAGCGTAAAATTATCTATAATAATTATCTGAACACCATTTATCGTCAAGTCAGTCGTTTAGCTTGCACGCGCCGTCAAAGTCCGAGACTCGGATCCCGAAAACCCTCGATTTCATCGTTTTTTTTTTATGTTGCGCCGGTGATTTTTTTCCGTCATTTAAAATGGAATTAAAAATTTCCACCCCCTACCCCCCTCAATCACACATCATCTGAGAACTACAAAGAATACTTTTCATGGTGTAACCGATTTTTTAGACTCTTTTTCTTTAGTTTGTAGCTGTGTAAGCAAAAAATTTTGATTTTTTGGAATAGTCTTAGTTTTTCGCTGTTTTGAGGTCTTAGAATTTATTTGAAACGAATTTTATCGTATGCATCTTGTTGTGGACGAAATTTGCAACAAAAAAGAACTCTTGTATTTTTTTTGTACGACAAACGCTGATTTTTTTATTAACGCGCAAAGTTATCCAATATTGCGCACAGGTCGGATAACGTTTGTTTTGCACCGAAATAATTATTTTTCATTAAAAATTACGTGATTTTTTGCATTATTATTGAGCCATTTTGCAAAAAACGGCTTTGCAATATGGTCCAATAATAATGCGAAAAATTACGTAAATTTTAATAAATAGTGGTTGCAACCTGGAAAGATTAATTGGAAGGTTCGATATCTAATATAACTGGCCTATATACTATTTCTTAAAAAAAAAGAGATAAAAACATATCGTATTTCTTTTTTTTTAGGATAACATCAACCGAACGATAAATTATCATTTGTACAAATCGAAAATGAAAAGTTTGAAACAAGATGAAGAGGATTTACAAGAAGAACGGCAAAGGTATTTGACAGAAGAAATGTCCTGGACCGGAGGAGATTTTCGAAGATCTATTTGCAACGATCCAGATTCTACAGATAATCAAATCACGATTCATATGCGGCTCTATGATCACGAAGCGAATCTAGAAGCAACCGAGCGAGTCTTGAGCGCAAACGAGTGCAACAAGAAATGCATAGTTACTTTGCCTCGCAACGCAATGTGCACTAACATGAATATGGAAATCGAATACAACATAAAGCTAACGTTCTGGCTTTATCTCGGCATTCGAGTATTCATAGGTATACATATTTCAACGTTCCAACTGTCTCTCAGGATAATTGGGATTTTTAAATCTCTAATTGTTATTACAGTTCAGCAAGAAGTAACTTTTTTTTAATCCAAGAAAGGAAGTAATCGTTCTTTACAGTATTTTTCATGTTGAATATAATTCCGGCCTCCAAAAAGGTGTTATTTTGTTTAAAAAATTTAATATTAAAGTTATAAAATGGCCATTTTAGATTTCATCTTTAATTAAGCACAAAAAACTACAAGGAATAATTTTTTTTCTTGGAGTTTTTTCTTTCTTCTTAACTGTATTGTGTAGTTGTTGTGATATTAGCTTCGACATTATTAATTTTACGAAATAAATATGTACCAAGAAATAAAGGTGTCAAATTCTTTGTTTCAGGTATTATTGGCGGTACAACTTTTGCCATGTTCGAAGGTGCTGTTATAGCAATATTGCGAGAGCAGGAGGCAGATTATGGTCTTCAAAGAATTTATGGCAGTATAGGAGGCATGATTTCCTCACCCTTATCGGGTATTCTAATAGATTACGCTAGCAGGGGTAAAGGATACACAGATTTTAGGCGAGTAATTTAATCATGATATACAAAATATCCTATAACAGAGGCACAATCGGAAAAGGATAATTCTACGTGCCAAGATAAATTGAAAATTTTTCTATACGAGACTTTACTTTCAAGACTCTTTATATATTTATGCGACTTTAAAATTAGATCTTATTGAATCACGAATTAAAGTTTAATGAATTTTTCAGGCCGGCATTTTACCTATACGCGGCATTGAAACTTGGATCGGGTGTCCTCATGTTGCTGATCAACTTAGAATTCAAGGCACCTGCTAGGAACGTTGTGCGCGACGTCTTGACTGTTCTAAGGAACATCGAAACTGCCGTACTCTTCCTCGCATGTTTTATTCTCGGTAAGTTACCAGACTGCTCGATATGACCCGAATTTTCCTACGATGTTTCGCGACAAATTATCTGGACAAAAAGCAGCACTTAAGAGGAAGAAAGATTTCGACAGGTACCGCTTGGGGATACATCGAGTCGTTTCTCTTCTGGCTGATCCAGGACCTGGGTGGATCTAGATCGCTTATGGGTATCACGGTAGCGGTAGGCGGCATCGCCGGCATACCGTTGTTGGCACTCTCAGGACCGATAATATCAAAGATTGGTCACGCGAACGTGCTTTTCATAGGTTTCGTGTTTTACGCCATCAGGCTCGTCGGTGAGTACGACGATAACGGTGCGAAATAATTGACGGAGAACAAACGTGGACACACGCGCGTTTAAAGATATAATGAAGCGCTTCCTGCACAGGCTATTCTTTGATTTACGATCCTTGGCTTACTTTAATCTTCGAGGCATTAGAGTCGGTTACGACGTCTCTCAGCTTTACCGCGGCCGTCACTTACGCGGCGAAATTATCAACCACGTCAACCGACAGCTCGATACAAGGATTGCTTGGCGGGGTTTATTACGGAGTTGGTATGTCATAGATTCACTTAACTGTTCAAGTCTTCTTGGTAATAACAATAAATAACAATTATAATTATAATTTATTACCAATTATAATTATAAGCAAATTATAATAAATATGCACTTAATTTTTTTATTTATAGGCAAAGGCTCCGGAAGCTTGATCGGCGGTTATCTAATGAAATATTTTGGCACCAGACCGACCTATCGGATTTTCGCTGTAGTAACTTTAGTGACCGGCATAATATATTTTATATTCAATATGACTTATTTAAAGAAGCGGTCTCAACTCGAAGGCAATGATATTGTGAAGCGGAAACCGAAAAAAATTAACGAACAAGATAGCCCCGAGAAGCACACGACTGATATTAGCTTAGACGAAAAACCGCGAAGTGAACGAATTATTAACAAGAGCACGATGGAAAATGATAATAAAGCATTTTTGAAAGAAGAATCGCAAAATAACAAAAAAATGAATGAACCGAATTTAACTCAGATCGAAGCTATCAGAAACGCTAGGAACATTGACGGAATTGAACAAAATCCAATTAGAACACATGAGAACAAATTAACAACAAAGGACAATGCGATTCGAACGAAGATTAAAGAAAGCGATACGCAAGAGAGCTGTTTTATTAATCCGAATTTTGAGACTGATAATTTAGATCAGAGTAAAATCACAGTGGAAAACGAACAGAGCACATCCCAAAACGACAAGCATATCGATTGAGTTTATAGAAGGATTCCTGAGGATTTCTAATTTAACGGTAGTCAATTAAGGAATTGAATGCAATAACAACGTGAGCAGTTTTATGTAGCTTTAAGAGAGAAAAAATAAATTAAAAATCTAAAATTTGAATTATTCGAAAGAAAAAAGATAAAAGAGGCAAAAGAAAGAGGTAAAAAATGTATTTATTGGCACATATAATTAGTTAAATAGGGATAACTCTAAAGATTCAAAAAATATGCATTAATAAATTGAACCAACTAATGCATCCAATTTATCAATTGTACATAAAAGTGTATATTTATATAAATTTTACTAATTTATCAATAATGTTTTAATAAACACAACAATTAAAACTTTGAAGATTACTCAGAATTGTGACCTTAATTAGGTCCAAGCCAAGGTCATTGAAGCTATGTCCTTTTGTCAATAATTACTATATTATTTATATTATATGTTATAGATATATAAATGTATAATATATAATTTTATTCAGATTATCAAAAATTAAGGATATATACACTATATATACACTACCGCTCAAAAGTTTTATTACATAAGTTATATATTATTTAAACAATGTTAAACAATAATTTGACAAGAAAATAACATAATTTTAAATTTTCGCCTCATTAATGTGGCCGTTTTTTTATTACAGTTTACATTACACAGTTTATCTTACACAGTTTTGGCATCCGGTTGATTAATTTTGTAATTGATTTTTGGTTTCTAGATACACCAACGTGCATTGATAATCTCGAAAAATGTATTTATTATTTATGAGATTTTCCGTACGGAAAATAATTACATGAAATTAAAAAGTAAGGGAAATCAATATAACATTAGTTTTGTGTAAAGTAATAATAATCTTCACTTTAAATTAAGTTTGCTGCAAAAAATTACAATTTTTTCTATTTTTTCTGGGGTGGCAAATACTTTTGAGTGATAGTGTGTATACAGAATATTTTAAACCATTTGTTCCATCCTTTCTTCTCGGAAATGGATAGTGGAAAAAGAAATTGGAAAAATTTTTCATTGCCAAGGACTATCTGAATTATCTATATAACGGTGGCATTTTAGTTTTCCGAGAACTTTCGGAAGTAGGATAAGTCTGGGTCTAAAATTTTTAATAGGAACATATAAGTTGAGTGAGATAGATAAGTCGTTAGATAAATCTTTTAAAAACAAACAACTTTTGCTTAACATTTTTGCTTAATATTTTTTTTATATCACTTCCAGTTTATAAGAAAAATAAAGAAATGTCACAGATTATAAGTCGTCCATTTTTCCAGACATAAAAAGTTATCGGAAGTTTAAATTAAAATTTTCAAGACCAAACCTTATGCGATAAATCGGATGGTGCTTTTAGAAACAAACCAGAAGTAACGAAAACTGCAATGTAGTAAACTCTTAAATTTTTAATTAAAACAGACGAGTAAGGTATTATTGAATAGGTCTATTGAAAAGATATTATAAGTTTTTTTAATTTAAAGATGTTTTTTTTTTTTAAATAAACATTTCCTTTTTCTTACCAACCGCAAGTGATATCGATAAAAATGTTAAGCAAATGTTGTTAATTTTTAAAAAAATTTTCCAACAATACCTAATTTGATCTAATTAAAAATTTCAGATTTGACCGAGATTTATCCTACTTTTGGTAGTTTCCGGAAAACCGAAATACTATTATTAGATACTTCAGATAAGCTTTGTAGTAATGGGAATTTTTTTCCCAACTTCCGGCCACTGTCCATTTCAGAGAAAAAAAGGATAGTATATAGGTGATCTAAAACATCCTGGACACATATCCGATTATGTGTATGTA